GTGTGTTTTAAACTAACAAGAAAAAATGAACTGCAGATCAAGCATTCAGGAATGACTATTTTGATTATATCTATGATATTGTGATCACAGGTACTGAGTGGTATTTTATCGTATATATAGTTAACTCTTGATATAGTGAACTCTTGATATAATGACTTTTTGAATAAATATAATAAAAATACTTTTACTAAATTGAATAGATTAATCAAATCTCTTAAAATTTTTACTATTGTCTTATAGCAAAGTTGAAGTCTAAGACATAGAGTTTGTTATGTCAAGAGTTGATTGTACTTCTGAGAGTATATAATATACTCTACGAGTAAAAGTAAATACCAAATTAATCTCACAAAGTCTGTACTTAAAGATAATCCCAAATTACTCTGAAGTAATGTAAAAAGAGTATTATAATTGTTGGATTATTAAAGAATCATGTTAGTGTAGATAGTTCTCCAGCTAGCAAAAGGGTTAGGATCAAAAAAATTATCAAAAAATAATATGTATTGTGGACTATATCCTGAACTTTTGTATTTATTTATCTTGTGTTAATAAAGCAAGTCTTTACATTTGTCACATAACATTGAATAATTCTTGTCTTGTATAAACAAAATATTATGCAACCTGAGATTAATTCATCAGAACAAGAAAGAGTTAAGCTTTTGATTAAAAAAACTGAGCTTGAAGCTAAGAATGCTGAGCATTAAGTATATTAGACTTAAGGCTAAGATTTTTAAGCTTGAGGCTGAGAACATTGAGTATGTTAGACTTAAGGCTAAGATTGCCAAGCTTGAAGCTGAGAATGCCAAACTTGAGGTTAAGTATGCCAAGTATGTCAGACTTAAGGCTAAGAATGCTGAGCTTGAAGTTGAGAATACTGAGCTATTAAAGTCACTTATAGAAGAATATACAAAGAAAATAGAATCTAAGAAAAATCGCAAATTTCAGACTAGATGCATCCAGATAGCTAAAGAAATTCTTAATGAGGAACCTATGATCGAATATCGCCCTTCTTTCTTGAACGGATTAGAGCTTGATGCCTTCTTTCAATAATACCGAATTACGCTGGAGGTGCAAGATGCTCAGCATCGGTTTCATAACACTAGCTGGTATAAAGATGTTAAAAAACTCGAAGACATTGTTAACTGTGACCGGCAAAAACGATGCATATGTCAAGATAATGGTACGACAAAAAACCAGAAATCGTTATTCCTAAAAGGATCCAAAAAATTAAGGAGTTTGTTTGTCGAACATCCAAAAGTTTTGATATCCTATAATCAATAGCATGTAACTCTACGTTTAATTAACAGATAAATATATTGCAGATGTCATTCTTAGAATACAGACAAAGTTTCTGCCTTCTAAGCGATACAAAATAAATTATTTTTTTTTTATCTTAGCACAAGCAGAGTGCACAGTATAAAAACTTCATCATGTACCGTATAGCGGATTAGTCTGTTTGCTTTAGAAAACCTCTTGCACTTGTATTTATTTTTTTTATCACTCGCATGTATTAATATAAAAGACTCTTCACATTTATCACCTGATGTCAAGCGGGTGAAGCGAGTGACACATAATCATCTTTGAATGATCGGCTGTTTTATATATAACGGGTGCATGAATACACTTTTCTCATTTTCTGTATGGACAGAATAGATAAAATAAACCGATACTTTGACCGAACTCATACCGATTGGAATATTTTAGTTTTTTTAGAAGAAAATAAAGAGGAACCTTTTCAAGTACTTATACATTCGTATTTAAAGTATCTTAATCATATTATTCAAAGTGAACACGTAATTAAGAAAGAAAAGGCACAGATACTTATAAATAATTATAAAAAGGTAATTTTTTCGTGTTTATTTGTTCAATTCACTAAATCAGTGTTAGGGCATCAGGTAACCTACGCTCTTGTCTGTTGTTGAAGGCTACGTGCCGAACCGACGTAGTTACGAGGTGAAAATCAGTAACATCATTATGATTGGGAACATTAATTACCTCTATTATTTTTTTTTTTTAAGGGCACACGATCTGATTACCATCTGGCAAAGAATTGGAGATATTTGCGAAAACTTAACATGAGTGACGAATACCGAGATTAACATCCAAAGTGTTTGGTGTGGCAATGAAATTCAAGGAAATGCTATAACAATTTCGACCCAAGGAAGTGCTAGAAACGTTCAAGATTCTATGGGAAAAGGAAACTCTGATTCGTATGATGACAACACAACACAAGAAGCGGAGCATGACATATAGAGTAACACTAAAGGTATCTATGTGAAATTTTAGAATAAAACTACAACCCCGGAACAACAAATATATCCGCCATAGCGAAATAAGGAAGATGCTGAGGGAAAAGAAGATCAATCTCTTTTTTTGGTAGGCTCTAATAATTCATCCTATTTGGTATATCTTTTATTTTATTAACAATTTTATAATTATTCAACTATATTATAGTGCGGACAAAAAATTTGACAAGTTCAACCCATCCGAAGAATCGTTAAAATCATCTTTTCCAGAGCCTTTCCTTTTTTCCTTGGCCAGTAACTGTTGAAGTTGCATTTTCTTTTGTTTTTTCTTTGTATTTTTTGTCTTATATGGTGGAAGCTTATCTTGAGCTGATATAAATGGATTTGTTGATGTTGATGTTTTATATAAATTGGAAACTTGGGGAATAATCGGTGTGGTGACATTAAAGGGATGTTCCTCTTTCCGTTGTTTATCATCGCTAGGACTTGAAATCTGTTTAATAACTTTCTTGGTACTTCCAGCGAATCTTGTTTCGCGATTACAAGAATTACAAATATAAGATATATGGTTCTTATATTGTTGACGTCTAACATGTGTTTGTTTTTGATTATTTGATAATGAAATTGAAGTGGTTGATCTTGGATTAATGTGAATTATTTGTCTTTTTCCTCGAGGACTTTTTTCATTCATAATTTGTTTGAATACATTTGATTCTATAAAATATTAAGTTCACTAAAATTGATTCGTTTAAAACATTATCAAAGAAAATTACAATAAATTACCTTCAAGTTGTACGACTAAATCGTGATCCGAAATCACTTTTTTATTGCCATCATTAGTATTATTAACATTGTCAACTACTAATTTTCTTCTTTTTTCTCTCCTTTTATTTTTTTCAATTCTAATCTGGCTGTTTAAACCTGGAAGGAAAATACTGCCACAATAGCTACAATATTTTCGTTTAACAGCTTCGGCAAGATTCAATTCCTTTTCACCGGAAAATTGGTTAAATTGTTGCATGTAAAAAGCCGAAAGACTAGGAACAGTTGATAGCAATGTATGTGATGCATTCCAAAGAAATTGGAGACGATTTGAAGCATCGCGAGAGGTCATTTTTTTTTTTTTGGAAGGAAAAAAAAAATCTCCGATCTTTACCGTTGCCGTGATTTCGAACATTCTGGAATAAATCACATTTTCGTATTACTTGAGCTTACTAATTATTAATACGGTTATGTAAAGTCTAAAGTTTAAAATCAAATATAGTTTTAAGCAACACAGTACTACTGTCAACCTCTCGTTCCCGAACAAAGACCACATTTTTAACGACCCTCAAAGTGCAAATAAAATCAAGGAGACATGACGTCTCAACTGACATACAAGGAATCTTCGGAAACAACCAGACACAACCCGCGCAAAAGGCCAAGATCTGCTACGCCAGGCTCAACTGGAAATGCAGGGGGTTTGTTTCCCTTCTGGAATGAATACACGCAGGAAGAATCGAAGAAGTGGTGGTTACCCGAAAGGTTTGAGTTTAATTATTTATTTGCTTTGATTTATTATTTTTTTTATTTTACTAACTTTTCTATTAGGACTGATTGTGCCATTTCGGATTTGATCTTGTGGAATGATTCTTTGAGAAGAATGGGACTCAGCTCGTGGTACTCAGTACGAATGTTAGTGCTGAAAGTAGTGAAGTTGGAGAACTTGCAGAAGACTTCCTTGCAATCGTCACAGTGTTTGTGGTGTGACATAATGGATTATGTTCAGCCACAAATCACAGAAGGAGAAGAGATGCTGCCTAAGAGATTTAAGAGTTTCAAGAAGGAAGTGAAGAAACTTCCAGCAGGCAAGGTACAACAGATTCGCATTTATCCCAACCAGCAGGAGTGGCTAAAACTCAGAAGATGGATGGGAACAGCACGATAGACATACAATCGGTATCTTATCGCGATCGAAAAAGAAGGTATCAAATGAGAAAAGAAGGATTTACGCGCACTATGTTTAAACGCCAAAAACTTCAATGATATCAAACTCAAATGGATCCTCGAAACGTTAATGGAAATGTTATTGCGTCTTGATTAACCAACGAAAAATTTTAATAATATAGGGTGGCGAGAAGCGAAATTCAACTGTCCAAAGAGTCGCGCCAACCTGAAAGAGGAAACGTAAGGGTGCAATTTCTAAGAAACAATAAATAACGATCCAGAAATTAAAAAAAAACTTGCCCAATTCGGCCTAAAAAATTTTATCGCAAGCTAAAAAAAACCAACCCGATTTATAAAGATTGTGATGCGCAACAGTGTACAAACTAAAACTTTAGCATATAATCTTTTATCCAAAATTCCGGATTTTGAAATAAAAATCCGGTAAAATCCGGTTATTTTACATGACTTAGTTTCAGCCAAATAACGCCGCCTTGACATTATTTTTGGTTCGAATATAAAATCCCCTACCCATAATAATTTGACATTTTCAACTATAATCACACACACTTTCACTTCCCATCAAGTTAAAAGTTTCGTCAAAAAACTAGGGTTCACTATTATTTTGACTCTAAAACTTTATTTAGCAAAATAAAAAAAGTACAATTGGAATCTCTCCAAAATAAAGCGCGTGCTTTTTAACAGTTTTATTACGATAAATAGTGAAGATAGAACTTTTAGTTTTTTAACGAAAAAATTCGATTTTCTCAGCTATTTATACAGGATGATCCCTCCTAAATTAAAAATGGTTTTTTTTTTACACCTTGAAAAAAATCATTTGACTCCAATTTTCGGGCGTAATATTTGTTGTTGCACCAATTGCTCATTTTGTAAAAATAGTTGCGCCTCAATGATTGTGATGCTCTTGATTTCGACATTCAAAACTTTACGATTCATTCTATAATTGG